CGCGGGAAAACCGCGGACTTGGCAACACTGAGCGTGACTGATACTCGAGCCAACTCTGCTCTAACTGTCGACTAGCAGTGGGAGTCAGATTGCCCCCTAGTGGATGGCTAAAGATTTGTTAACTCATATTCATAAATTCTCAAGGGAACATCTCTGAATTAACTGATGTTCGTGCCCCCCTTGACAGGTGCTGGCGCCCCCCTGGGTTGGAAAACCCTTGAAAACAGCCATATTTATGAAAAGGTACTTGAAAGTACTTGAATGTTTAAAAGGCAGTATATATGAAATTAGTGTTAATTTTTGTTTTTTTCGATAAAAACAATCTTTTCTCGCAAAATTTACGATGCAGCGCATCTGATATAAATACAGAGCCGTTTCGCCTGGCTTCCGGGAGCGCACAAGATCTCGCGATATAACTCCTTGAGGTGAAAAGCAGTCTCGCGATATCAGTATAAAGTTGGTTTTGGGGTAAAACCTTTAATAGTGCTTGTATTATATTACTCGGTCTTTTATTGCATGTGCTGTTTGTTTGGGTTTCATTTAGGAACGCACATTATTTGCTTATTATGCGCTTTGTGAGCGCGTCTTCATCTCAGCAGCTCAGTCCACAAAGTCTTCCTCTGAATATGCTGTGAGTTTGGGCTGCTTAACGTTCATCTGGGAAAACAGTGCTCGTTATCTCACTAGATTTGTAATGTAAATCATTTCTAAACCTATGCAAACACAGGAGAATATTTCCAGATCAACATATTTCTAGTTATGCGATTTGTTGAACATCGCTATTTCAAAAGTTAAAAAGTTTTAACCCTCGCTCTGAGTTTGCATGTGGCCAAATATTAAAATTAAATGGATTTAAACGTCGTTGAATCACACTGTAAAATGAAACCTCACCAGGTATTTGTTATAATACATAACATACTTAAAGGGGTCATATGATGCGATTTCAATTTTTCCTTTCTCTTTGGAGTGTTACAAGCTCTTGGTGCATAAAGAAGATCTGTAAAGTTGCAAAGACTAAAGTCTCAAATCCAAAGAGATATTCTTTATAAAAGTTAAGAGTCAACCACGCCTAGCTAAAACGGCTCGTTCTAACACGCCCCCACATGTCTACCTCACTATGTGGGAAGATTTGCATAACGCCGCCCAAATGTTCACGCAAAGAAAGAAGGCGTAACTTTTATTCGCTGTGGTATTGTTGCTGCCGCCATGTCGTGGAGACGCTGTGTGCTTCGTTGTGAAAGCGAAATTACTTTGTTTGGTCTTCCAAAAGAGGACGATATCCGCTTCGTCATACTTGGAGCTGATCCATGCTGGTCGCTGAGGAAATACATCAACTTCGCTCTGTGGATCGCCGGATCGGCTTTCACCGTGGACGAAGCGGAGTCCAGCCCGGGGTCGTCAAATGTGGCTGCCACAAGCCCGCCGGCCACTCTTTCGTCGAATCCGCCGGCCACCACTCACTCTAGCCCGCCGTGTGTGACGCTGTGTGTTTCGTTGTGAAAGCGAAACTACTTTGTTTGGCCTTCCAAAAGAGGACACGACTAGAAATCAGTGGTTAAGTTGTATTTACAACACTGTTCCAGAACAGTTTAACCCAAATATTCAGATGTGTGCAGCACATTTTATGGAGGACTGTTTCCTGATCCTGGGAAAGTAGACTACAATGCCGGCTGTTCTGAATCACA